TAAAGACAGTTAGGACAACAATCTAAAATCCCACAACAAACATCAGAGATTAGAATTGTGAAAGCACAGTCAAATAAAATATTGACATTTTATTTTGTGTTTCATATTTTGTTCATGTCATTTTCAAAACAGATGGAGAAGGTACAAATTGGATTGAGTGGTTGCCTTATGAAATATCATAGCGCTAGATCATGAGGAAGTTCTCGGGTTGTGGCAATATTTGGAAGGGAATTGGCACCAATTCTTGATGTGAATCATAGGTCAATGACAAAATACGGAGTGGGAGACTCATATTGATTAGAGAGATGCGCAAGTCATTAGCTTTTATGTTTTGCACAATAATTAAAGTAAAGATAAGTGAGGTGTTGCACTTTGGAAAGTCAAACCAAGGTAGGACTTACACAGTTAATGGTAAGGTCCTGAGGATCATTGATCATAGAATCCCTACAGTGTGGAAACAAGCCCTTCAGCCCAACAAGTCCACACCAACCCTCAGAGCATCCCATCCCCCTATAACCCGCCTAATCTACACATCCCTGAACACTACGGGCAATTTAGCATAGCCAATCCACCTCGCCTGCTCATCTTTGGACTGTGGGAGGAAACCGGAGCACCAACAGGAAACCCACGCAGACACGGGAAGAATGTGCAAACTCCACACAGACAGTCGCCCGAGGGTGGAATCGAACCCATGTTCCTGGCACTGTGAGGCAGCAGTGCTAACCACTGAGACACTGTGCCGCCCCCTGAGTGTTGTGAAACAGAGGGAGTTAGGAGTACAAGTACATAGTTCGTTGAAAGTGGCATAACAGATAGACAGGGTGGTGAAGAAGGCATTTAGCATGCTGGCCTTCAGCGGTCGAGGCATTGAGTATAGGAGTTGGGACATCATGTTACAGTCGTATATGTCATTGGTGAGGCCACACTTGGATTATTGTGTATAATTGTGGTCACCCTGTTATAGGAAAAACAAAGTTAAACTGGAAAGTGTGCAAAGAAGATTTACAAAGATGTTGCCAGCACTAGTAGGCCTGAGTTATGGGGAGAGGTTGGCCAGGATAGGACTTTATTCCTTGGAATGTAGGAGAATGAAGGGTGACCTTATTGAGGTGTATAAAATCATGAAGGGCGTAGATAAGATGAATGTATATAGTCTTTTTCTTGGGGATGGGGAATTGAAAACTGGAGAGCATAGGTTTAAGGTGAGAGGGGAAAGGTTTAATAAGGACCTAAGGGGCAATGTCTCCACACAGTGAGTGGTGCGTATATGGAACGCGCTGCCAGGTTGAGGCAAGAGCAACATTTAAAGAACATTTGAATAGGTACATGGATGGGAAGGGTTTGGACGGATGCAGACCAAATGTCAGCAATTGCAACTAGCTGAGTGGGCACCATGGTCAGCATGGAACAGTTTGGACCAAAGGGCCTGTTCCCATGCTGTGTTATTCTATGACTCTATGAATGTTGTTCTGGAATGGATTTATTTTTACATCTGTAGGATGGGTCTTGAATCTGCAAACTTCCTGATTCAGACCTGAGAATGTTGCTCATTGTGCCGTATCTTGGCACCACATATACATATGAACAAACAAATTAGGAGCAGAAGGAGGACATGCCTTTTGAGCCTGCTTCACCATTCAATAAGATAACAGCTGAAATGTTTGTGTTCTCAGTTCCACAATCTGGATCCAATAACCTTTGGTTCCTTGCCAGCAAGAATCTATCTGCCACTACCTTAAAAAACACCCAGTGACCATGCTGTCATTACTTTCTAAGCTGGCGTTCCAAATATGTATAACCAGTTCAGTATGAAAGGACATGCAGTTAAGAACAGGTGTATATATATTGTCTGGGCTGAGTGTAAATTCTATTTAGTGCCTGAACACATTGGAAACCTAATATTTTTGTTTGTGCATGCTTTATATGCTTTTTATGTAACAGCCTGATCGACATCAAATACAGGTGTCATCAAATAACCTAAGAGCATTCTCTTTCTGTACAAGCTGAAATTAATAGCACAAGGTGAAACGTTCTCAAGATTCAGCGCCTGGTGTCAGCTACTACTCCGTCACCTGGAAACATGAAAACGAAGAACCGAAACCTGTACAGTCTGTCAAACATAAAAAACAATTTAAAAATAAAAATAGTGTGCAGATTTATGTGCTACAATAATGTTAAATGCGGACGATTGAATCTTGCATCATCTGATTGTTTTCATAGCCTCTTGTTGTTCTACAGCTACGTCCTTCTCTGGGTGTGGTTGCACTGTGACACTGCTGTTGTCTCCTGCCTGAGAATGGCCAACCCTGGCTCAGAGATACATGACTCGGTCAAGACCACTTGTCCCATCTGGACTGGCTCGATATTCTGAGGATATTCTGATGTTGCTGAGGTCCAGTGCCCTGCTGGTCTGCATGTCTCCCGCAGACCAATTCATCCCTAGTCTGTACCGTATATGACAACGGTCCTGTCAGAGCCACCACAACTGCTGGGATTCATTCTCTCCTCTTTGGAATACGTCCACCCTTCTGGCCGTCTGTCCTTCTTGGTTTCAATCACCTCTCTGATATCTTTCAGCTGCAGTCAGTCAAACATGGTTCTCAGCTGGCAGTATTCATGTAGCATGTTCCTGTACATGCTGAGGAACTTGCTGAGTCACCAACCTAGCAACCCTCCCTTAGCAAAGCCTTTAAAGCCTCCTTCAAGGTTTGAACAAATCTCTTCACCTGGTTGTTTATCGCAAGATGATATGGAGCCAATCTCACATGTCTGACTCTGTGATTTTCCAGGTACTCCTCGAACTCTTGTGCCACAAACTATGGACAATTGTCATTCATGATGTTTTTGGAGTTCCTGAACCTGCCAAATATTTCATCCAGTCAGTCTATCATTTCTTCTGCCAGTACCGACATCATGACAGCTATTTTGGGCCACTTGGAGTGGGCATCCACAACCACTAGTAGCATCTGTCCCTTTAGCAGTCCTGTGGACTCATCCTGAATTTGCTGCCATGGTGTTTGAGGCCATTTTCATGGATAAAAGGGCGATAATGGCAGGCCACTTTCTGACTAATGCACAAGATTTACATGAACCCACTTTCTTCTCAATCTGGAAGCCCACATTCAGCCATCAAAAATAGCTCCTGGCTATCTCCTTCATTTGCACCATGCTGAATTTCCATTACTTGATGAACCAGGCGGTCATCAGCGAATTGGGTTGCTTCACTGGAGTCCAATTCCATCGAGGTAGCAATTTCAAAAGTTGCCTTGAAATCCAGATCTCTCTTTATTAGTAGTTTCCGTTGGATGGCTTCATGTCAGAGGTCACAAACCAAATGAACCCTCCAAATTTGTAAAGTTCTGCTAACCACTTTAAGGCAGCCATGAATTGGGCAATAGATTCTCCTTATTGCAGTATCCTTTTGTAAAAACAGAAATCTTCCACGATCATCAGTGGTTTGGATGCCAAATAATTTCCTAAAACTTTTCATAGCTCTTGGAATGTCTTCTCTGCGGGTTTCTCTGGAATCACAATGGTCTTGCTCGGAATGATACTTAAGAAAATGAGTTGCATGATGTCCTCAGCCACTTTGTTCGCCTTTAAGAACAAATTAAAGCATTCCATGTATAAAGTCCAATTTTCTGACTCTTCATCAAACTGTCCCATCGCCCCAAACTGGCCTGCCATTTTGTTTTCCCGCCGATTGAGTCTCATAAGCCATTCACAGCCCAAGTCCCCTTGGTGCACACTCCTCTGTTGGCCGTTTCCTCACCGGCTGTGCTAGCATACCGTTCCTCCCTGGTGTCGCCTGTAGCCATGTTCCCTCATGACCACTGCTCTCGGTATTACCTCCTTATACCATTTCTGAATTCTGGACGATGTCTCCTCCAGACAAAAACAAAAAGGTGTTTGCACACAGTTCACGGACAGATCCCATACTTGTTGCCGGTTGTTATGTTGGTACTTCCTTTAGAACCAAATATTATATAGCAGGTAGACAAATAGTAAATCTGAACAAGTGGTAAATTGATAAGCCTCACACCTCCACAGCCGGTTCTAGACTGGACCCAGGTTCTGCCCCAGAGTCACATGGCCTGTTCTCTTAAAAGGGACATCACCCAACTACATACATAACAGAAGCCAATTACTTATAGGAGGCAGCAGCATAGTGATAATGTCACTGGAATAATAGAGGGTCAGACTAATGCTCTGGGTTCCAATCCCATGACTGCAGCTGGTGGAATTTATATTTAGTTAATATGAATGGAATATAAAGTTACTCTCAATAATGGTTGCCATGAAACTACCACCAATATTTTTTGCAAAAACCCATCTTTACTAATAATGCCCTTCAGTAAAGGAGATATACCATCTTTAGCTGGTCTGGCCTATGCCACTTTCCAAACTTCAGCAACGTGGATGCCTTCTGAAAAGGTCTAGCAAGCCACTCAGTTCAGCATCAATGAGATGGGCAACAAATATTGGCTCCTCCCAGTGATGCCCACATCCCATGAAAAACAGAGACAAAAATATCCGGTCCTAGGCCTGCCATCCAATTAAAGATGATGGCCTGCCTTTCCAGGCTGTCTACACAATTCAATGGCTGGCAGCTATGTAGCTTTGGCAGTACCACCAGTAGACGTAGTATTTGCTTAGTTTCAAGAGGAAGAAAAGGATATTTTAGGGGATTCTCACAGGCTAGTGGAAATGCTTATTTCAGTGCTAAACCTGGTGTGCATGTATGTTTAGGTGTGTGGAATTAGAGGGGGGACCCTCCATGGGCCATACTTCCATACATCAATGCAGGGTGCATTTGTTACTTGTGAATAATACAATGTACTTTAAATGTTATACGTTTAACAAGAAAGAAATTGAATTTGTTTCAACTTGAACTATAAATGTTTCAATTGAGATTATACAAGTAATTGAACATTTGAAATCTATAGGAAATGCCCATTTATCTCACAAAAAAAATACCCTGTATACTGGGTGAAACGTACCTCCCGAAAGTCTTGTTCAAAATCACGAAGCTGCAGGCATTGTTCGAGTTTGAGGTGGTGTTTTGACCAAAACTGGTCGAAGGCATTTTCAGTTTCATCCAATTGCATCAGTAATCTATTGCAACAAAATTTGGAAATACCAAAGAATTACAACTTAAGCCCAATTGATACTGCAGAATAATCTACTATAAATTATTAAATACTTCTGTAATAGCTCCTTTTTAATATAAACTAAGTGTAAAACTAAAATGAAAGAAGCAAAGTTTTTTTTTACAATTTGAAGTGCAATTGAAGGTAAAAATACAAATTATAAACCATAAAAAGCAGCAAGTCTGTGCTTGTATCTTGATTCACAATTTTATCAAAATCTGATGTGGAGGTGCCAGTGTTGGACTGCCTCATAACTATCTATTCCCTTTTCCCTCATATGCTTGTATAATTTGCTTTTAAGTGCATTATATTTGCTGCAAATGGTAGAAAGATCGACAGTACAATCTGTGGGTGAAGAAATTTCTTCTGAATTCCCTATTGGATTTCTCATTGACTATTATTTTGTTTCATTCTACTTTCCCAAAGAGGAAACATTTTCTCTCTATCCATTTCATCAAAACCTTTCAGAGGTTTGAAGATGTTGCTCAGGTTTTTTCTCAACATTCTTTTTTCAAGAAAAAAGAGAAACTATTGGATGGAATAATAAGCTTTTTCTCACTTGGATTCCAATGAAATTTCCAGCTAAACATGCTGCAATTATTAACTGAAAGGCATTAACGTATAAATTTGTTTGGTGAATGAATGCAAGAAGGAACAAACATAATAATGAGTTAACTTTTATCTTCGATAGAAACAAATGTAGATGTTTCTGATACGGAATCACTTTAATCTAAAGACAATAAAAAACGTTAAAAAAGCAATTTTAGTTATAACACAATATTTTCAAAGAAAAAGTATTGATCTGATTTCAGTCATCACTTAATAACGTTTTACCGTATTTTAAATAATAGTTGTGCAGCAAAGAAAATGTTCTGCTGTTGGTACTGTCACTAACCTTTCAACTGTAGCCATATTTTCCAGTTCATCAGAATTCAGTGCATAATTGGGATTTTTAGTAAGTGGCTCCTTAATACATATTAGTAAAGTGCTGCCTTCCTTTACTGCTAATTTCAATCTCTCCTGAAAAGCAAAAACAAAACCTTGGTAATTGCTGCTTTGAATTGACATTTCAATTTTTTGAAAAAAAATAGCAATAGATGGTATTTAGATTAGTTAATGCTGTGCATTATCTGAATGGATATACAATGCAATGTGCATCCTTTGTCATATTTGTAAAGGCTTTGCCAATTTCGGTGAATGATTGAAGGTAAATAGTGTGATAATGAAGGCAAAAGGAATCCAGCAGTATGTATGAAGTGTCACATGCCATGTGTCCGAAACAAGGTTAAGCTGTGTGTGTGTGTGTGTGTGTGTGTGTATGGGGTGCAGGAAGAATGGAAGGGAGGTAGTGAAAGGGGATTTCATAGTCGGGGGAGAAGACAGGCATTTCTGCAGCATTGACATGGCTCCAGGATGATGTATTGTGTCAATGGTGCCAGGATCAAGGATGTCGTGTACCGGCTGAAGGACTTTCTGGAGGAGGGGCATCAGCCAGAAGTTGTGGAACCATTAATGTCAACGCCAAAGGTAAGAAGGGGAATGAGGTCCTGAAAGCAGATTTTAGGGAGATGGTTGGGGTAATCCAAATTGGAAGGAAGTAAAATCGGTAACATGAAGTTTAAAAAGCTACTGAGGAGACAGGAATATAGGAATAAAAAACCAAGCATTAAGTATACTTCATATACTTCGGAATAAAATTCATAAGACCAAGCAGCATTTACAACTAGCTAGATGATTAAATGGCACAACGAGAATTAAATAGGTATGATCTAATTTCCATTCCAGAAACATGACTTACATGGTGACCAGGACGAGAAACTAAATATTCAAGGATATTCAATGTTTAAGAAGAACAAATAGAACAGTTGAGTGTCTTTGGAATTCCCTTCCTCAAAAGGCACTGGATGCAGAATTTTTAAATAGGTTTAAGGCAGAGGTAGATAGATTCTGGATTAAAAGCTATGGTAAAGTCATAATAGTCCCAAAAGACCACAGGGCTGCTCTCTCATTAGAGAGAGACAACATATGGTGAGTTTAACCTGGGGGTCACCACACCTCAGGCAAGGGGCAAGGTGGGACCTTAATGGTAACCTCAGTAAGAATGGGAACTGAACTCTTGCTGCTGGCGTCACTCTGCCAAGCAAACCAGCTATCCAACCAACTGAGCATGGGGATGAAAGCTTACCGCAAATATGCAGGAATGTAGAGTTGAGGTTAAAAATCAGATCAGCCATGGTCTTATTGAATGGCAGAGCAGGCTCAAAAGGCCAACTTTTACTCTTTGTTCATTTCAGGTAGAGTTGTGCTGATTATAAGAGAGGTGGCTGAAAAATTAGTAAGGGACAATCTCAGATTGGAAGAACAATGTGTGGAATCTGTTTATAGGAAACAGCAAGAGACAGCAGACATTGATTGGAGTTATTTATAAACCACCAATAATAGTCATAGTGTGGGGTGTGGTAGTAATCAGGAGATGAGAGAAATATGTAGCATGGACAACAGTTATCATGAATGTCTAAAACTTGAGGGCATAGGTTTAAGGTGAGAGGGGAGAGAGACACAAAAGGGTCCAGAGGGACAATGTTTTCATGTAGTGGGTGTTGAGTGTCTGGAATGGACTGTCAAAAGTAGTGGTGGAAGCAAGTACAATTTTGTCATTTAAGAAACATTTAGACAAGTACATGGATGGCATAGGTATAGAGGGGGTTAGACCAAACGTGGGCAAATGGGACTAGATTATTTGTGAAAACTGAACAGCACGGACACATTGGGCCCAAGGGCCTGTTTTCATGCTGTAAACCTGTATGACTTCAATCTGCATATGGACTGTGTAAACCAAGTGAGCACTAAAGTTGTGGAAGACATGTTTTTAAGGGTATGTTAATCTTGGCTTTCAGGAGCAGTATGTTGGGTAGCTACAGCATGTGGACTACAGTGGTTCAAGAAGGCAGCTCATCACCACCTTCTCAAGGGCAACTAGGGACAGGCAATGACTGCTGACCAGCAAGCATTGCCCACTTCCCATGAATGAGTTTTAAAGAAGAGCCCTTTGGAAAATGGAACTTATGAAGGAATGAGACAAAAATTAGCTGAGATGGATTACAAAAAGACATTAAAAGGCACGACTGGACATCGGCAATGTTCTTTAAAGAACAGTTCATAGTCAATATAGGCATATTTTTTAAAAGAGCTACTACTTGGCTCACAGTAACTATATTCCTCGAAGGAGCAAAATCTCAAAAAAGGTCAGTAAACAAGTTGACAAAGAAGGTTAAGGATTGTAAACGATTAAAAGAAAAACGATTTATAAAGTTGCCAGAATGTTGGTAGATCTGGCAATTGGGAGGTTTTTGGAATACAGCTAAAGAGTAGCAAGGATCCAAGAAGGAGAGAAAAGTAAATGAATGCAATCTAGAAGAAAAAAAACATGAAAACAAACTGCAAACGCTTCTATAGGTAAGTTAGAAGGAAATGTTTGGCTAAGACGAATGTGAGCCTATGGGCTGAGTCAGCAGAATTTATAATGGGGAATGCAGAACTGGCAAAGAAACTAAATGGTTACTTTGTGATTGTTTTCAGAGTAAGGTACAAGAAATCTCCCAGAATTAGAGATCCAATTGAGTGGGGAGAATGAGGAGTTGAAGAAAATTAGTATCAGTAGGCAGATTGCACTGGAGAAATAAATGGGGCTGAAAAATGCTAAGTCACCGTAACATGTATTCTATATCACAGGATGTTGAAGGAGGTAGCTATATCATCTTCCAAAACTCTCTAAATTCTGAAATGATTCCTGCAGATTGGAAGCTAGCAAATGTCACCCCACTATTTAAGAAGGGAATGAGAGAGAAAGTTAGAAATTACAGACCTGTTAGCCTTATGTCAGTAGTCAAGAAAATGCTAGAATCTATTATAAAGAATGTGATAAATTGACAGTTGGATAATAAAGATAATAAGTAGGCATGGATTTCTGAATGTGAAATCATGTCTGATGAACATGTTGGAATTTCTTAGGATGTTATGAACAAAATTGATAAAGGAGAATTGATGGATGTAGTATTTTTGGATTTCCAGAAGGCTTTTGATCAGATTCCACTGGAGGTTGGTGAGAAAAATTATTTCTCATCTATGTGCTTTAATGTACTTGCATGGAGTAAGGATTAGTTGGCAGGCAGAAAACAGACAATAGGAATTAACCAGGTCATCCATCTGTTGGCAGGTTGCAACTAGTGGTGTAATGCAAGGTTCAGTCATTGGGTCCCAGCTATATATGAAATATTTAGACAGGGAGATGAAATATAATATTTCCAAATTTACAGATGATGCAAAGTTAAGAGTGGAGGGGGAAGGTGTGTTGCAAGGAAGATATTAAGTGGCTTCAAGAGCATTTGGACATGCTTTGTGAATTGGCAAGAATGTGAAATACAATGTGGAAAAATGTGATGTTATCCAGGTGATAGGAGAAATAGACATTACAGTACAAATAAACTTTTGAATTAGGTAATAACTCCACGGAAATAGCCAAGGTACATTTTCCAAATGTTTAAAGCATGCATTTGCTAAATTGCTAATGATAATTTTTAGGCTGAAGTATTACCATGTAAGCATTGTCAGAAAGCAAGGTGTTACTGGTTTTACACCACTGTTTTCATAGATATAAAATGGTTCCCATAAGAAAACAATTCGTTCCTTATAACTATCATGATAATTAAAAATAATGACACACAGTACCACCATAACATCTACTACCTTTAGTTCATTGCGTTTTTCTGTGTGAATTGTGAGCAGTACTTTTGTAGACTGGACATCATTGGGTAATTCTGTCTCTGCAAGTTCAGTGCCAAATGACTGTAATAGCTGTGCTGTTGTTTTCACTGTCATAGCAAAATTTTCTATGGCCTGAAAATAAATATTTGAAATTTCAGTGAAACCATGTGACTTAAAGGCTAATATACTCAGTCTCATTTTCATACTAACTTGTTTTACTTGTTGTACATCTGTTTTATATTAAGATTTTGAGAGGTTTGAAAGCCTCTGTGCAATGTGCAATTTAATATTAGTAATGATTTGTCTTTATTAATATAGGCTAAGTAATTGCATCAAAGTTTCAGTTAGTTGCAAAAATACAAAGTTGGCAACTGATAATAAAAACCAAAATAACTGCGGATGCTGTAAATCAGGAACAAAAACAAAGTTGCTGGAATAGCTCAGCAGGTCTGGCAGCATCCGTGAAGGAGAAAACAGAGTTAACGTTTCGGGTCTGGTGACCCTTCCTCAGAACG